TGGTGGCTATTTTGAACAATTGTAGTAAATATTACACTTGGCAACTACGCTTTAAATAAACACTTCCTTTTTTGTGTCTGTGCCTTACCTCGTCACTTGCGCCCATACATTCCTATACAATAAATTAGTGTTGCAACGGCCTCTACCTACCATTAAAGTTTGTACCATGAATTCGGAACCCCATGTATACATAAAAATTCATAAAAGATTATCAATGATATCCAAATCGCTGTTCATAAAAAAATAACTTTTTCACTGCAACGAGCAAAAACTGAACATGAATAAGTTTCAATGAAGTACCATATTTAAAACTTAGATACATCACCCGAATTGAGCATTGGTTGTTTTTCACGTGAGGGATTTGGAGGAGCATGCACTTGTCGATTATACTCAATGCTTCTAATATTTCAGAATACTCAAATATCTACAAAAATATATGGACGCCAAGCTTCTGATAATAATGCCACTTAATAACAATGCTCTGCATTTATTCCATCAATGATAATTCGTACTTTAATGAACATTTTTCTAATATTCCACATCTTTGTTCAAGGCTTAAATAATTATTTTCCTTAATTTTTTTTTTAAAGACAATTTGGTGCCTATCTACTATAATTTTGTTCTAAAACTTAAGAACTATTGAATCATTTTCCAATGAAACTGATTGAAAAATAATTACTCAGTAAAGGAAAAATCAGAAGAAAGTTTTCTAGCAGAAGACTGAAAAACCTAAAATGTTCCCAGACACGGCTGATAGTAATAGGCACAAATATCTAAACTGATTCAAAGTACAACCAATTGAGAACTGATTCAACCAATTACGAAAGTTATGTTATTCAATCTTATGAATTCAACTTTTCATTATGGGACATGAAGTACAATATTAATCACTCCATAATAAACATGACTACGAACAACTAGAATACTATCTATTTTGTGAAAATATTTTATTACATAAACAACAAAAATAAGGCTTTTCAGGATTAGAAACATGATTGTTAAAAATATTGAATAGTTTTACATATTGAACCAAATTTTTTACATTTGCTTATTTTTACATAAAATACAGTAATAAATCACTCCATATGAACATAATTATAGTAGCAACAACACTGTTTTGTTAAAAAAAAATTGACAAGTAAGAAATTAATTTCTAAAAATGACTTTTACTAATTTTTCAAAATTCAGTCCTTAAACAAACTAGCAAATGCAATTTTAAAGTAAGTTCATTTTAATTCAATCATTAAAAAAAAAAAAAAGAAGTATTTTGAAATGGTAGTAAAAGTAATAATTTTAAAAAACATCTTTGATAATTTTTTTAATATTTATTTCTTCAACGATTATCCTATAATACACAATATAATATAAAATAAAGAGAATTTTAATTGTACCATAGATAGAAAAATAGAAACATTTTGAACAAAATATTAAACTTGTGCTGAACTATTACCATATGAAGCATGACAAAAAAGTTATTTAAGGAATACAGTCGAACCTCGTTAATGGGAAATGGGTGGAACTATTATAATTAATCTGCGTCAACCAGATTTCATCTTATTTAAAACATCATGAAAGCAAATTTATATTACAAACTAAAAATGAATATTATGTGAAACGTTAATATAAGTACCAAACAAATTAAAATAAGCTTAAAATTTTTAATGACTTTATAAATCTATTTTATTTATTTGCCCATCTAACGATGACAGAAAATAGAAGTAATAAACACTTCCTTCATATACTTCTTATCAGTGCTTTGTCCAATTTCCTTTTATGTTAAGCTATAATGAGCTTGAAAATTTCATGTTAAACATAAAAAAATACAACAATTGATTTCTGACTTGTGTTTCATGAAAAGCAATACTTCAGGGTCCGTCGTCAACGGGGGGGGGGGGGAAAAAAGAGTGTCTCACCCAGGGCCGGATTTAAGCTTGGTGGGGCCCTAAGCTACTGAAAATGATAGGGCCCTTATAAGTTCAATTCCATTTCTATACACTTAAAATAAACTGTAACTATTTTTTATTGTTGAGTATTAACATTATATTATTAAAAAATTTGATAATATTACTTTATTGCTAAATATATTAATTGTGATGAGACTATTATGTAGAAACCTTTCTCTTATTGCACATATTTTTTGAACGAGGGGAAAAAATTACAAAAGAAACACATTTTAAGCACAGAGTAAAAATTTGGCGTGCTGGGCCACTATATATTTAACAGTTGTTTTTTATAGATTCATTTTGAATATATTTTATTTGCAATTTTTAGTGATTTTTTCGCGAATTTTTTTCTCAATTGTAATTTCTTTACTTTACAAAATCTATAAGACTTAGAAACATGAAATTTTGAATTTGGGTAGAAAATATGCAAAGAGTTAGAAAGAAAACAAGAAAATACAATTTGATTATTAGNCGAATTTTTTTCTTAATTGTTTTTACTTTACAAAATCTATAAGACTTAGAAACATGAAATTTTGAATTTGTGTAGAAAATATGCAAAGAGTTAGAAAGAAAACAAGAAAATACAGTTGGATCATTAGTTTTATTTTTTTTATAACCGCCGTTGAACAACCGACTCAATTTTGAGTTTACGCCCTATCAACTAGGCTTTCCCGGCCAAATTTGTTAGTTTATTTTATAACAGTCATTGCACAGCCGATCCAATTTCGAGTTTACCACTACTAATATTCAACTCCGTAGCCTTGTCATTTTGAACCCATTCCAGAAGACAATGGAATTGCTAGAATAGTACCCAGAGGTATTTATTTGTTATTAGAACTTGGAGGACTTTGTGACCCCAACAGATTTAACATGCACCAGTCACCATTTTATACATGGGTATTCTTCTACTGGCTGGATTCAAACTCCCATTCTCACAAACACGAGTCCAACGCCCAATCAACCAAGCTATCCCGTCCAAATTTATTAGTTTATTTTATAACAGTCATTGCACAGCCGGCCCAATTTCGAGTTTACGACTACTAATATTCAACTCCGTAGCCTTGTCATTTTGAACCCAATCCAGCAGTCCCTGGAGCAGGTGAGGACCGTTATATTAATACTGTTTGTAAAAATAAAAAGAACATTTCGGAAGCTGATATTATTTAATTGATGTTTATATTGAAAATATTTCTTCATTATTTTTGCTTTCTTTTTAATTATTTTAAGTACATTTGTTAAATTTTAGTGCAAGAAAAAAAAT